ACAGGGCTTCTTTTAATTATCTCTGGATTTTAATGACCGATATTCTAGTTTTTATAAATTATAGTGTTAACCAAATATTCTGGTATTTCAATAATAATCTTAAACTATACCAATCACATAAATCCATTTGTGCTCATTTGTACAAAAACTTAGAATGTTTTGGGATTATAAACCAAATTACATGTTCTGTTTTCAATGTATAAAATTAATTCAACTGTGTACATTTTCTAAAACTTTAAAAATAATTGCCAAAGGCATGATTATCTAGGGACATATAACTTATGAAAAATTGTTTATAATACATTTTTTAAGTGAGAAAAACATAATTTGCCTTTTTAGGAAATATAACTATTTCCTATTTCATTATCTATAAATTTTGTATTTCTGATGACAGTAATTATTTTTAGCATATGCCAGTAAGTTCTACAATGATATACTATCAGCAAAGCTTAATAAGATAGATTCAATTTCTATCAACTTTTTCCTTTTTCATTCTTTTATTGTCTCTTTTAAGGGTACGTGTTCATTTTTTGTTAGTAAATCACTTACTATATCCTTAATTCTTTAGAATTCTCAAATGAATACCATCTGGTTTTTCTAAGATACTACAATCTCTTTTCTTATGATGCTTCATCTTTCACAGATACCTTTAAAAATAGCTTGCAAATATCATTCTACTGAAAGATCCCTCTTCTTTTCACAATTTCTGTAGTGAAGAAAGGATATTTCTCTCTTGTATTATTTTAGTGGCTCAATAAGGACCTTTGCAGTGGTTATGAAAGCCTCAGTAAGAAAAGATGACAATGTCAAACCTCTAGTTTTAAATGTTTCTATACATGTTGAAATTAAATCTTTAAATTTCAATGAATTAGTGTATTATAAGATAAATGAACAATGTATATGTGCATTTAAAAAACTTTACCTTTTTGGATTTAATCCACCACCAAATAGAAAAGTCCTCAAGGCATCTATATCAGAATTTTTAAAAAGGGGTTTAATGACTCAGATTTTATGAAAGAAAAGAAGTAAGACTAAAAAAAGCACTGCAAATAGAATTTATTTTTCAAAATGACAAAATACATTTGCCATGTTTATATATTTAGTGTAGATTTTTCCTGTGACATTCTAGAATGCTTTTGCATTCAAACATTGCTACCCATTTCATAGATTAAGAGGTAGGGTGTGCTTATGAGTATGCAGGGTGGATATTAAGTAACCCACTGAGAATTAGATGGTGGACAATTAGAGGAACTGAGAACTGAGTATAGTTTTTGTGCACTAAAAATACTGCCTTTCTAAATGCATCATGAACACTTCGCACAAATGTTAATTTAAACATCCCTTATATGCTGTTCTAACATTAATGTGTTGATATGTATATATGTGGATATATATACATATATAGCACACACATATATTTTACATTTTAAAAACAGACACAAACACACACACACACACAATTAGATTCAGATGGTTTTTGATGAAACTTCCCTTTCATAGGACTTTAAAAGATCTTGTTAAAAATGCTCCTCCTTTAAAAGAAAGCTTCTGTGAATTAATATAGTCATATTACTCAGGCAGATACTACCCTAGATTTGAACTAACTTTCAATATTTAAAAAAATCTGGAATCAGTCTTGAAAATCTGAAAATGTTACATGAAATTATTGTAGAGCTAAGTAGACATGTGTTTAGGGTATTTATATAAAATTATGAGCAGCTTATTCTCTTTGTAATTGGTTTGGACGCCAGATTGCAACTTTGACACCATTCCTATAACTTATCAAAGAGATTTATGCTTTGCAACTGACATTTTAAATTGGAGATTTACTTGAACTGGTACCTAACGTGTTTTCTGTAATTAATTCCTTTGAGGTCAAGTTTCATGGACACAGAATTCCTTTAACATTAATCTCTCCTTTAGCAATATCTTTATTGTTGGAATTAACAGTTGAAAAAAACGTTAATCTTATTTTCAAGTAAGATTCTCAGTTCCAGATATTGTTTGTTTAACCAATGCAAGATTTTCTGAAAAGTGCAAAATATCTTAAAAATAGATGCTGTGGAGTCAATGCATGAAAAGAGCCAGAAGTTAAATCAATCATATGTTAATACGAAATGAAAAGTTTAATTATGTAGATACTTAAGTTCTTACTAGAAGACCTTGGTAATGGTCTCATTTTAAACTTTACACTATTATTCAGGTTATTTGTACATAATACCTACAATTTATAAGCTTTACATGTTTTTTTTCTGGTTATTGAGGAGATGTTAGATTATTTTGTTAGATTATTTGGTGGACAGCACAATTTTTTGGATGATGATATTCACTAAACTGTTGAATGAATGACGTTCTGGTGGTAGCTGGTTTCCAGTTTTAAGAATGAGAACAATACATTTAAAAGTTGGGATATAAATAACTTAATATGTAGTAGTTTACTATTCGCAAAATGAATTTTGTCAAAAAAAATGTTTATCAGTTAGGCATGGTTACCTTTTTG